TGTGGTGAATACTTGACATACATGCTACATATTTTTCATTATTTTTTTGTAAACCTGGAAAATCCCTTTTCATAAATATCGCTCTTTAGCGCCCTTCAACATTTTTTCCTCTTTTTTTTCATTATTTTTTTATGCCAACTCCAGTGATTTTCGTGACCTCAAAACTTATCCCAAATTTTGATGTATTTTAGGTTAAAAAGATAAAATTTAAATAAAAGATGACGCTCGATAGATAGTCCACCCGGCCCTTAACTTCGGTTTTCGTGGTGTTTGAATAAATTTGGAAGAGGTTGGATAAAAATATCAGATTTATTATTTTTATAAGGCTTTATTATCCTTATGACATCCTTAATTGTATCCAAAACTGTTGATAATCGCAGTATACGGTGCAGCATTCTTGGCGACCTTCTTTCCAGCTTCCTTGGTAAGTTTCTGAAAAAGAAAAGACATGAGTTTCCCGAAATTCTATCATTCCCGAGAAAAAAATTGACTATTTGACGATTCTCTCAGGACATGAATTTTCATCACCTCTGATTCAGGCGCAAATTACCATAAAACATCATTGAAAAATTTTAATAAACTGATTAATATTTTTGTTATGAATTTTGTAATGATGAAGAGGAATTTTTACCTTGAGTTTGTCTCTCTTCTGTACTCCCAGGATAGATTTGACTCTCCTCTTGTTCTCCAGGGTGCGGACAACAGCCTTGTACTTCCATCCAACTTCGTGGGACAGACGACCAACGTGACAGTACTGCAATAATAAATTCATTCATTAACTCGTTAAATCTTAATTATGAAAATAATTAATCAGAATTGAAGGCTTAAACTCAGTTAAAAGTGTCATCTTTACATTTATCAGGCGCAAATTACCATTACCATCATCGTAAATAAATTGAATTAATTAATAATTATTTAGGATTTATCAGTTTTTTACCTTTCTGCCTGGCTTCAGGCACATGACCCTCATGGCGCCAGGGACAACAAGACGTTTTCTGCGGTCATAGGGGGGTGGACAGCCCTCGTAGCATTTCAAACGCCTGAGAGCTTGCTTTCCCCTCTCAGTTTTGTGTGGGATCATTCCTTGAAGAAAAAAATCATTACGTCTCCACAATTAAAGTGAGAACAGCTGATAAGAGAGAAGAATAATCTCAGATCCATTAGAATGTTTCATTACAATTCAAATAATGTAGGTAAGAATTTGATCATCATGAGAGAAGGAACCATGATTAAAAATGTTTTAATTATTCGTTAAATCGAAAACAATCAATTTAATGTGAAAACAATACAGGACTTTTTTGTAGCTGACGAAAATTCTGAAGAGAAATCGCTCTTGAAATTTTTTTGAAAATCAATAGTTAATGAGATTAATCGATGTTTATGGAATAAAAAATCAAAGGTAAGGTAAGAATTACCTCTGACTGTCTTCCAGAAAATTTTGCTGGGTGCACGGAAGTGGAAGGGTCCACGTGCTGGGTTTACGTTGCATCTCTTACGAAGGAAAGACATGAACTTCAATTTATTCCTGAAAAATGATTGAAAAGTCCAGAAGGATTAATGATCTCGTCAGCGCATCCAGAGGAATCGTTGGAAATAAAAGGGGATTCATTCGAGGATTGAGTTTCATGGCTCATTCAAATAATGTAGGTAAGATATTAATAATCATTTTGAATATTCGTTAACGAGAGGTGTGGGGGGGAATGGGAACTACCTGAAGAAGTTGCCAGAGATGTTCAACTGCTCGCAACGTACCACGACGACTCGGTTACCCTGGAGGATGGTTTTGGCAGTGATAGCTGCCAAACGGCCCAACAAGTGGCCACGACCATCGATAAGAATTGGCTGAAATAAAATAATAAGTTAAATACAATTCATCAGACGCGATTAGTACGAATAGAACAAAAAAAATTAATAAAATAAAATTTTCGGTAAAACTCCCGGATGTCATCATGAGAATTGGCTGAAATAATAATTATTATACCTGAAGAAGATTTCGAATGAATAATTAACTCGTTTTTTACATCTCCGTAAGTATCTGTAATTATGAAGACAATGACAATTTCCGGAATGAATAAGTTAAATAGAAAATAATCCCGAGGCAATTAGCATCCAGCCATGAGTGTCTCCCTTTCTAACCAAAAATTTCAGACTTTTTGTAAATATGGAATGTCTAATCCCAGAAAAATCATTCGACATGTTACAATAAAATAAATCCATAACGAAAAGTGGAAATGAGCTGAATAAACGCGAGAGCTTTAGATTGATCAATAAAAACACAGGTAAATAATTTAATACTTCATGTGGACACGTGTATAGCATCGATCAACAGCGGTTCAAAAAACCAAAAATCCCCCCAAAAAATTTCATCCTAAAACCCTGAAACCATCGAAAAATCCCTCCGGAACGTCTCTCGATAGTTTACCCCGGGGAAATCCCGGGAAAATCGGAAAAATCACAAAAATTCATGGTACAAACCTTTTCACTAAAGCCCGTCATTTTGTCGCCCGACCGGAAAAGAGATCCGCAGAATAGAGGAGGCGCGCAGTGCTAGTGCGCACCGGAAGCCGCCATGACCGCGCGCTATTTTTCGATTCCTGGAGTAACTATCGATACATAGAATATCGATATGATTCAACTAAAAGTTTGAATTTCTACAAGTTCCCAGGCTTTGTACAAAAATTCTAAAAATCTCAAAAGATCGTAAAAAATCCAAAGAAATTCAAATTAAAAATTCTGATCATAAACATTGATAAATAATTGAAGAAAAAAATCATTTGTTTCATGACCAAAATTGTATTAGAGCATTTTTCTAGTAATTTAGAAATTTCTCGGAACTCCTCTTAATTTCAACAATTAAAATGATTTTCAATTTATTATCGATACTCGTAGTATCGCTGGGTAATAATATCGCAAATAAAAAGATCGATCTATCACCATCGATAACTTTCAGGGGCGTGAAAGTGGGGGGACGACAGAGTAAACTCCAAAAATGATTCACATTTCCTGCTATATTGTCGGCCCTGATGCTCATTGGAGACCATGGTTGACCGACTTGGTTAGTTCTCTATTATATTTACTCTCATTTCCCCAAAATAATCACTCGTTATTAATATCCCCCCTCTACAACCCCCCCAGCCACCCCCATCCACAATAATTAATAATAATCCATAATTTTTTTGTCGACAAATCGTCGTTAACTCCCAGTGGCATTGGCTGTGTTTTTGACAGCTACATACGTTAATCAGTGGGACAATCAATTCACCAAGATGCGATTAACTAATCAACGCTTCTGCATTTATTTTTATTCGTTTGTTCAACTGTTTTTTATTGTTTTTATGTGCAGTTAACAGTGAGGCGAATGCCAGGCGAATTGCCATGGTGGAAAACTGCTTTGGCAGCTCCGGACAGGTGAGAAATTCCATGAGTTTTTCCATCTGATTCATGCCAGTGGAATCATCATCGTTGAATCATTGAATTAGTTGAGAAATCGATAGCCTAATGACAGAGTAGTTCGGATGAAATGTTAACAGCATAATAAATTCAAGGAAAATTGGAAAATAATGTAATTTAGATTTTAAAGAAAAAACCATTTAATCCAAGGTTCAATCACAGTTTCTGGAACTTTCTTCTATTATCAAAATTTTTTGTTAATAATAATAAGAAATAGTAATAATGGATTGATGGAAGGGCTAGAGAAAAAAATTGAATTAAAAAATTGAATGGAATCGCTAAATGAGTTGTTAATGGTTAATTGTTTTTGTTTTTTCAGCCACTGGCTGTTCCTGGGAGAGTCCTGGTGGGCGAGGGTGTTCTCACCAAAATGTGCAGGAAGAAGCCCAAGCCCAGGCAATTTTTCCTTTTCAATGATATACTCGTCTACGGAAATATAGTCATCAACAAGAAAAAGGTGAGTCTTCGGAGGCGAAAGACTCTTTATGAGTGAGAGTTTTATTTGCGGTTTGTTTCAGTACAACAAACAGCATATTATTCCTCTGGAGGAGGTGAAGCTGGAATCCCTGGCGGATGATGGACGTGAGTATCGACAGAGATTGAATCGTACAATGAGAGAATTTCATTTTATTTTCATTTTGAAATGTAATCGATGGTATCATACGAAAAAATAGTTAAAACTGCTAAAAAATCCCAATTTCTACAGAACTTTTGCAATAAATAATTCGTAAACCGAAAATTTTCTAGTTAAACGTTCGTTCTGAATCCGTAATGAATCTTTCAACAATAAAATTCTGGAAACTGTACATTCGATGGGAACATTTATCCAGAAGAACTGCAATTTTTGTAAGCCTCGAATTACGAAACTGATAGTACAATCTTTTCCCCGATAATTCTCAAATTACGTAAATATATTTTTCTCTCAGTGTACGAACACCAGAAAACTGTTGCCCCCGCAGGTCGAGGATTTATTATCATTATTCCACGATATTTCCTAGTTTCTGGTAATTATTTATAGAATATCGCAATGGATGGCTCATTAAAACGGTAACAAAATCGTTTGCTGTTTATGCTGCTACTGCAACAGAGAAACAGGAGTGGATGGCGCATATAACTAAATGCATAGAGGATTTACTGAGAAAGAGTGAGATAATCAATTTTTTTTTCTCTACAATTTGCGTATATCACTTGTGAGATAATTCTTATCTGTTGAATGGGTTTTTTTGCAGGCGGAAAGAAGCCTGTGGAGGTGCATGCTGCTGTTTGGGTGCCAGACAACGAGGCCAATCACTGTATGCATTGTAAAAAAACACAGTTTACAGTTATTAACAGAAGGGTAATTATAATTTTTATATCATGTTCAAACTGTGGCTTTTCCCCGTCCAATTAATTTTCTTCTACCCAATTTAAATGATTAAAATTCTGTTTTCAATCAGTCATTTATTCATAGATTCATCTCTTTATTTTCTAAATTAATTGACAAATGTATGTGATGATCTATTTATTTAGCATCATTGTCGACAATGTGGTGCAGTTGTTTGTGGCCCATGCAGCAACAAAAAATTATTCTTGCCGGGTCAAGGGAATGGGAAAGCTGTGAGGGTCTGTTTACAATGTTACGACGTGGCTAGTAAAGTGAAAGCATCATCTCCCACTGGAGTTGACAATCTCAATAATTCTGACCAACAGCGCAACTCAGCTGACAGTTCAGGTGGCGACAGCTCAGGCGACGATGATGATTCAAACAAAGAGGAGAAACATGACGAGGTAATATTTCCCCTTGGATTTCACCAGTCAATTCAATCAATCATTTATCGATAATTCTCTGTCCTACAGCCGAAATTCTACTCAGTTCTTGCTCGATGAATCCTAACTCAGCACAATCATCCCGATGGGAATCGGAATAATTTTCTCACACCAATTCAGATCAATGGAGATGATTTTTTATTATCACTGACGTACAACGAAACGTAGGAAACATGTACAACTTCATTTTAACAATTTTTCGGGGCGAATTTTATTAGTATTTCATCCGCAGTATTGGTATGGCGATTTGTTGTCTGTATATTTTTCATATTTGGTCCTTGAGGAATTCAGTGGAATTGCGATCTTTCTATTTTACGAATTATCCCCTATTTCTTAAATTTTTCTTCATTTTCTTTTTTGTGTTATGGTAAGAAATTTAAACAATAGGACGCATAGACAAAATTCAATAGAGAATGAAAAGGCAATTGAGGATTGTTTTTTAAATTCTTTTCTTTTTTTGACATTTCTTTCGTTGAATTCCAGAAAATTCCTCAGAAAGTCAGCAGAAATCCATTAGATATTTTCTAGAAACCACAGGATTTTTCTATTGAATTTTCAAATACGTAAATGTAGTAAAGTCTGGGGTGAAGTTGACATTATGTTCTGATCCCTAGTTCCCTTATTGTTATTTTTAATTGCATAATTATTATTTGAAACAGTAAATCCTTGGATATTTTAAGACTCATGCCACTACGTGCCTTTCACCCTGGAGTTGAAAAAATTTTCGTTAATCATTGAATATTTAACTGGTGGCAGTTTAATTATTATTTTCCCTCCTTAGTCTAACACGTAAGTGATTGATAAATGCAACTCGACTGTTTAATCGATATTTATGTAACAAGTTTAATGATAAATATTTCGAGGCCAATTGAACTACGTATTCCATCCATGAAAATGTCAAATTGAAATTGTTTTAATTTGAAGACATTATCGAGGAAGAGCAGTCGTTGTTTCTCGGGAGTTTAGGGTAAGATTGAATAAGGTTCAAACATTTTTTCTTTTTCATAAATTACTAATTTTTATATCAGACATTTACATTTGTAAATATCTTATATGATTATCCATGAGAATATGACGGTTTATCTATTAACTGTTGTGGAATAAAAATAAAAACATATCAACAAGTCCTTCTTTTCTATAAACATCATTATTTTATTTATTAATGGTATTAATATAAAAATTTATTTTTTAAATATTTCAGTGCATTGAGGTGATTTTAAATTCGAGTTTAACATTTTCAATATCAGTTTTATCTCGAAAAATATCGATTTTGAGAAGAAATAGGAGAAGAGATTTTTTGTAGGAAAGTTGAGTCGCTTCAAAAAATTCGGGAAGCGTTTTTTGGTCAGGTCTATAGTTTTCGAGATAATGGTGTGATAATTGAGAAAATTCGAAGATTCGAATTCTCTCGCTTTATCGTTTCGATTCTGGATTTGCTGATGAATTTCAGGAATGCAGAGAGAGTTTGTAGATGATTATTCTACCAAAAAAGTCTGTACTTTCTTCGAATATTATTTTAAATCCACTGGCCCTGATTGGCCGGTCCAATTTGAAAGTTTGAATGGTATTTGTGTCCTCAGGGTAAAAATGTTGAATATGCCTCAGAGTTTTTTCGTCGCATTTCGCCTCCAGGCGACAGGTTTTCCCAGCAAAACCTCCCTGGAACTGGATCTCAACCCTTGATAATTCGCATTCGCTTTTCAAATTAATTAGAATCCACTGGGGAATTCCCTAGGAAAAAATAAAAAATCCTGAGCAACCCCTGAGCTCGATGTAATTACGATTACTCCGGTGCCACGATTGAACTACTGACTTCAGATGAAAACGTCAAAGGACTTTTTTATAGTTGATTAAATTTCCGACAAAAAATATCTTGTGACATTTCCTCCCAAAATCCATAGTTTTGAGATTAATCGAAATTTGAAAAATCGATTCATCTGACGTTTTCCTTTGACTACTAAATTGATGGCTTTTGTGCTCATATTTGAAAAACTAATTGAGAGAAAATATTTACTCCACTTTTCAGGGATTCTTGAAGATAAATTTGATAGAAAATATGTCATGCGAAACGTGGCACGGAGGAATCGTAATTCTTTCTGTGTTATTTAGATAAAATTAGGGAATTACTGAATCAGAGTTCCAACAAGTCTCGTCGCTGTCATCGAACATAAATTGCTTTCCATAGCTTTTCACCTCCTTATTCAGCACTGAACTCACCCTTTAGACATCAATGAAGAAACAATAAATTAAAGGAATGAAAAGAATGCGTAAAGTAAAAAAAAAGCATTTCTACCTGCAGTCGAATGCATTTTCTTTTAGAATACATGACATTTTGGGTTGTCTACACGTGGGATTAAGGTATGATACAAGCATCATACCTTACGTGGGATGTATGACACTAGCGCCACCCTGGCCGTTCAAGTGTTGACTGGAAAAATTCACTTGCCACTCAGAAAAAACAAACCATTTTTTTTTTACTGATGGAGACAAAGAGGATTGACTAAAGTAGAGGTCAAAGAGGATTGACTAAAGTAGAGGTCAAAGAGGATTGACTAAAGTAGAGGCTCAGTTCTGGGGTTTGAGTGACCCCAGCTGCATCATAGTAGTAATTATTAAAGTAAATAGATGAATTAAAAAAAAAATCATGGAAATTTCGGCGAATGCACACAATGTGTTCTACAGACATGAACACGTTAATTATCATAACAATTACATGCACTGCAGTTACCTATTGCATGAGGAAAAAACACTGAAGACAATAATTTTCTCGGAATAGGAATGGTTAAAAAAAATTCATTATCATCCTGGTTTTATTTTAAATTTTTATTTTCAATACAGCTAATCTGACAGTTTCAACAGATACTAATGTAAGCTTATGAAATTATCACTAAATAATTGAACAAGTCCCTGGGTTTTTAGTTCTCTGGGCATTCGCTGGGTCTTATACAGGGCCCATTGGGTTCTTTCCTAATTAATCCTTCATCGCAATAACAACGTTGACGACAAACCTGAAATCATGAATTATTATTGGAAAATTAACTTGAATTATCTGATTCTTTATCTGAATACTTAAGAAGATAGGAATTATTAAATAATTTATTTATTTGATGTAGATTTCATACAGCGGAGCAGGCCTCAATTGTGCGTAATCCGCAATTAGTTTCACAGCCACCGCAGGGATTGAAAAATTCGCCTGGAGGACAACTCTGAGACTGAATGCCTGTGAGAAACAATAATTAATCAATTAATTAATTAACGTAACAAGAGTTAAATTGTAAAAATATCAGAAAAATATTTCCCCGTAAAAAATCGTTATTTCGAAAATTACAAAAATAAATATTAGTGCAATCAAATTAAAACAATACATGGACAAAGTTTTACATATAGGCATATATTTTTTGATTATATAAATATAAATTAGGTCTACCGGTGATCCCGACGATCGCAACGAGCATCAAGTAAAATCCAATACGAGACATTATGAACAATTTCAGAGTTCCACTGCTTGTCGCACCTAGTGGACACCGATTTTATAGTCAGGACAGGAAATACAACATGGAACTCACTGGAGTTTTGCAGAGGGGGAAGCAATGTTTGCATTAATAATTTCTGGTCTCTCTTTTTCCGTATCGACAGCTAAAAATACCTGAGAGCAAAGAAAATAATCGAGAAAGTTTATCCATCAAATATTTGGGGATTATTTTTCGTCCCGAAGATTAATATCAATAAATTCCTCTTAAATTTTCCCCTTCACAGTCAAATTCTTGCATTTGTTATTTATTATGACAGTAACAATGTTATTTGATTTTTACAGATGATTTATTTACGTCAAATAAACATTTATTGGTAATAATAAAAAATTGTTTCGTTTGAATAAATTAAAAATAATGATGCATGAATATATTGCATTTATAGAATAATTATTTTGTTCTCTACCCTTTGGATGAGCTATTACTGAATTATTAATTTATTTATTAATACTATTGTTTTAAGTCAGGATGTTTTGAAATTTGGCGGGCTGCATTCATCGGTTTTGATTCGTGAAGTTGAAACCGACGAATCCGAAGACTAAATTCTCTTTAGTACGACTTTATCAAAGTTTATAGTTGGTTGTTGCTAAAAAACTGGAATAGGTACAGTGCATTGTAGGTGTGTCAGTGTGTCACATGCAATTTTGACAGGAAATTGTCAATTGTCATTGAGCCCGGAGACTTTCCTCGACATCTTCTCACAGTGATATGAAATTGTCTCCAAATTTCATCGAAACACCGATTTTTCCACGTAAATCTCAAGTTTGTTTACTCACATTTATCCCATTATTTCTGATTTTACGATGCAATTTAAACGGAATGCCTTCTATTTACGTTTTCAAGGTCTTCTCATCATCTGTTTTGGTTTCATCGGAGGAGCATCAACTATTGAAAAAATGACGGAAAGTTTTGTGAGAGAGGCTGAGGCTTGCCGGGTTTTTTCTTCAAGTTTTTACAAAGTGCATAATAATTATTGTTCCAACAAATGAAGAGCTAGACTACTCCTTTTTTGATAGAGTCAAAACAATATTCGATTTCTCAGATTTTAGGGAAAGAGCTGAAGGATTCGAATATCGTGTCTTCACCCCTGAGTGTTCATGTTCTGCTGTCATATCTGACACATGGAGCTAGGGGCCGTACTGCCGAGGAGATGGTCAACTGCCTCAGCATCAGTGGAATCGAGCAGTGGCAGTTCGGTTATAAGAACCTCATCTCATCATTGAATGTGAGAATAAATCTTCTGACAGATATAATTCCATTTCTCATTGCAATTAATACAATTACAATTGGTCTAATGGTTCATTCCCTTTTAATTTATTGAAGGATTGAATGCCTCAGTATAGTAAAAGGTCCGTGAATATTTTTAATAACATATTAAATAATAATAATAATAATGAACTGGTGGATAAAAATCGTGATAGGGACCAGCAAAAGCAGATCTTCTCCTGGCGAACTCAGTATTTCTCCGTGAGGACGTCGATCTCCTCCCAAATTTCTCATCGATTGGAACAGATTTCTACGACTTCACCGTCTCAAAATTGAACTTCGGAAAAAGTGTCGAGTCAGCTGAGGAAATAAACAGCTGGGCAATGAAAAAGACAAACAATAAAATCAACAACATTATCACATCAGGTGATTCTTCAATATCCTCTACATTATTTCAATAATTCTCCTCTCTATCTCCTGTTATTGTTATTTTTTTTCCGTTCTCCATTAGATGACATAACCGATGACACTCAGATGATTCTCGCAAATGCTATTTACTTTAAGGGCACTTGGCTATTTACCTTTGATGCTGAAAAAACAACTCCCAAGAATTTTTACGTTACCAAAGATGTTGTTAAAAGTGTTGCCATGATGAGCCAGAAAAAACGATATCGACATGGCGATCTTCCAGAGCTCAATGCTAGATACATCGAGATTCCATACACAGTAATGACTCATTTCAATGAGAATTTTCATTCTATTCGTGAAAGGGAATTGAGAAATGTTATGATCATTCAATTTGCAATATTAGTTCGTTGGGATATTCAAAAGATTATGAATTTAAATTTTTCTGGTTGGACTTTTATATTGAATTTTCACACAGGAGTTTAAAATTCGTGATTATACTCTAATTCAAGGATGATAACCTGTCTATGGTGGTAGTACTTCCAAAGGAAATCGACGGCCTGTGCCATTTGGAAAAGAATTTTAATTGGAATCTCATACTCACTGCAGATCACACGCAGAAGGAAACGATTCTGAATTTGCCAAAATTCACAGTGGAGTCCACGATTGATTTGAAGGAAATCCTTGAAAAGGTGAGTTTAATTCATTAAGTGCAATTAAACCTCGAATTAAATAAAAAATCTCTCATTACAAATTAATGGGAATTAATTAATGATTTCTCCTAGCTGGGTATGTCAGAGATGTTCAGCAATGCAGCTAATCTCTCTGGGATTGCGAATTCACCTTTAAAAGTCAGTAAAGTTCTCCAAAAAGCGTTCATCGAGGTGAACGAATTCGGTACAGAAGCAGCTGCCGTCACACGTGAGTAAACGCTCTCAAGACAGTAAATTTTATAATTCCTTTGACTTAAAAAAATCCATTCCAAAGAAAAAATACATAAATAATTTGTTCACAGTCGGACAGATAAGATTGAGAAGAATGGTCTACGAGCCAGACGAATTCAACGTCGACAGGCCTTTTATGGTTGCAATTCGTCACAAACCCAGTGACATTCCCCTCTTCCTCGGGAGTGTTCGCGATATCGGCGAACCCATCCCCAAAGACGAGCTTTAACTCAAAAATCGCACGAATCAGTCTATTTTTCACCACAAAATATCTATTTTATAAAGCTTCACGTGACTAATCAGTAGAATTACAATAAATTTAACTTTTATATTATAATTTAGTATCTCTTTCCCCTATACCTCACTTTGCGGGATTAAATAGCAGCACTGGGTGGGATTAAATTTACAATCAATCAATAATTTGCAGTAATCACCGAGAATAAAAATATTCAATAGAAAAATCGCATTCATTAAAAATTCTATTAGTACTATCCCAAATTCTCGTTGAAATTCTATTGGTTTAAGTGCTGATTTTTATGTTTACACTAACAACATAAAATTCAAACTAAAAATTACCTTCGATAAATAGTACACGTGTACCTTCATATTGTCGATTTATTGATTTTCTCTCATCTCTGAGAATTTCAATGAGAGTAATTGAGAGCTTTAACAGAATTCCAACAAAATTTTATTTGTTGACTAGTGACTTTTTCCCACGTGATTTTTCTATTCAGTTGGAAGAGTCGAGGAGTTCCTTGAGCTGCTTGGGCTCCACAATTGGAAGAGAACAGGTCCGATGACGACAGACGTATATAGTAGCTCTTCCATTGTGTGATTTCATTTTTCGAGCGAGTTCATTCTTCCTGGCTACGATGGAGTCAGAATCGTCTGGATCAATTAGTAGCAGAACTTTCGAAGGAATCAAACGATCACGGATTATATCCAGAAAAGCCTCTGTGTCTGGAGCACCTCTTTTCCCTGCAATGTACAATTGAGTGGCAGCATCATGAGAATTTAATAAAGCGCTGACAAGTTCGGATGCATACACTGGAATTTTCCCCAGAGTCACTGAGAAATACTCGAATATCTTCCTCGCTTTTTCCTGGTAATCAGACCGATCCAATAGAGCAGCTAGACGCAATAAATTATTAGCAGCTACTGAATTGCTCGAAGGCTCAGACCCATCGCTGGAATCCTTGAGCCTCAGGACTATGTCCTTTTCCTCGTTGGTGGTATTGAAGTACCCGCCGACCTGAGAATCCCAGAAGAATTCATCCTGGATATCCTGGAGTTTCTCAGCTAGTTCAAGCCAGTGTGGATCAAATGTCGCTCCATAGAGATCAATAAGCCCCTGGACGACAAAGGCATAATCCGAATGGAATCCACAGATGGGCACTCCTGGCTGAATGATAACATCGTTTTCCCCCCTGTAGCAACACCTGAAGAGAACTGTCTTTTCCTCATTCATCAGATACCTCTCGATGAATTGAGCAGTCTCCACAGCTTTTTGAATGTATTCCTTTCTGCTTGTGGCAGCTCCAGCAGAAGCGAGTCCACTCATCATCAGTCCATTCCAGGCAGTGATGATTTTGTCATCGAGTTGGGGTCTCGGCCTCGAGAGCCTCTCCTGGAACAGAATCCCATTGGCTTCTTTCAGATACTCCCTCACCTCATCCACTCCCATCTCAAAGTGCTCAGCTGTTTCCTCCAGACTTCCATAAACAATCAGAACGTTCTTTCCAGCGAACTCGTTGTGGAGGTGGGGATGCACCTGGACATTGCTGTCTTGCTTAACCCCGTAGTGGTACGAGTAAATGTCCTTGAGAGACAGCTCTCCTTTTATTCTCTTCGTCAGAAGGTCGGAGATCTCCTGGAACGTCCAGACGTAAAATGCTCCTTCCTTTTTCTCCTTGGAACCTGGTGACGGCAAGGAATCCGCATCTTCTGCGGTGTAGTACCCTCCGTCCTTATGTCTGAGGTCTCTGGTGACGTATGTCACGATGTCCTCCACGACTTCCGAGTAGAACTCGTCCTTCGTCGCTAAAAAAGCGGTTGCGTAGGTTTTCAACAGCCGCCCCTGGTCATAGAGCATTTTCTCGAAATGAGGCACGTGCCATTTGTCGTCCACTGCGTATCTGAATATTTTTGATTCACTCAGGTTAGTAAATTAAATCTTAAATTAAATAAAAAGTAGAAGGTAAGTTACAATGTTTGAATGAAGAAAAATGAAAAATACCTGCAGAAGCCCTGACCGACGTGATCGTGGATTCCTCCATTGGCAATTTTCGTCAGAGTTGTGGTGCACATGTCGAGGCATTTTTTCCCAAGGACGCCATTGGGATCTCGGGCGTACATATGAAATAAAAAATCGAGATCAGAGGGCCGGGGAAATTTAGGACCACCGTTGAAGCCACCGAACTCTGGATCAAAAGCAGATATTAGCATTCGGAGGCATTTGTTGGCGCAATCCACAGGGTTCAAGGATTCTCTCTCTCCCTCGTTGGACTTCTCGATTTTCTTCAGTATCTCCGAGCCTTCGCGGATGAGCTGCTGCTTGTTCTCCAGCCACATGTTAGCGACCATCAGAAGAACTGTCTTAAAACTTGGCCTCCCGAATTTGTCCTCTGGAGGAAAATACGTTCCACCTATCACTGGTATCAATGTCGGGGTGAGGAAGATACTTATGGGCCAGCCCCCGTGACCGCTCATGTATTCGATGAATGACATGTAGATCTTGTCCAGGTCTGGACGTTCCTCTCTGTCAACTTTAATGCTGACGAAGTGTTGGTTCAGAATTTGTGCTGTCGATTCGTTTTCGAAGGATTCACGTTCCATCACGTGGCACCAGTGACACGTCGAGTAACCAACCGACAGGAAAATCAGTTTGTCCTCCTGACGAGCCTTCTCCAGGGCCTCGTCACACCATGGGTACCAGTCCACTGGATTCGACGCGTGCTGGAGAAGATATGGGGACTTCTCCAGGGCGAGTTTATTGCGTCCTGGGGGCGACCCTGAAGCCATCGCTAGGAATGGCACGACAACCACTCTGTGGCAGGTGATAATCAACCATTAATATTATTAATTAAATAACATTATTCATGTTTCAAACAAAAGGGCATTATTTAAATTTGTGTAGTGGCAATTGAGACTGGAATATCTATTTCTGTTGACACAATGATTATCTAAGATGATAAGCGTATTGTCGATAATTATTTGAATATTATCAGATTCAATGCCAGATTGATGTATTAGAAGAAAAAAATATATTGTTGGAACTCAGCTATTATTATTAGCCATTATTTTTGCATTATTTGCGTTTTATTGTTATTTTTGGCGAATGACACTTGACAGTATATCCATCGAGTAATTGCCGAAAACTTAATTTATCTATTAAATTTTGTTTGATTAAATATAGAAAAATGATAAATTTATCAAAAATGATTTTTAATGGGATCGGTTTTACCCCAGGCTCCCGTAAAATAATATGTCTTCGTTAATGCGTGCAATTGCACAACTACCTTTTGCTCTCAGCTGATAAAAACGTCGCACGATAGACCCCAGGTCTTTTAAGTGCACTTTGAATGTTCGATGTTTCTGATAAACAGCGAATTGCTGAAAAAAAACATCTGCCACAAATCATAACATCGGAATCTCGAAAATCCACGACAAATGATAATTACATAAACCCTTCAGAAATTCCTCTTCATCCACAGAAGAATTAGCCTCAAATTATTATTACAGACGAGCGATTAAACCGTTAATTATATCAATTAATCTTCAATCGTTCACCGACAATTCATCCATCGAGTTTATAATTAACACCCGCATCAAGGGGATTTTTTCCCCTTCTCCTCGACAAAATTCCCTAGTAAAAAATGTTGACAAGTCACATCTAGTTATTTTTTGGTAGATGACAGCTAGTTTTTTTTTATTTATTGTTGTGTGGGTGGATGTAACAATACATGTGGTTCTGTTTACGTTGGGATATTCGGAGCACAAACTCCTGGTGAACTTCTACAAAGGCTCTCGCGTTTCCTGGAGCATCTTCTGCAATCCTGGGAGGTTAATTGGGTTATTGATTTGAGGGAATTATCAGAGAATGGCTGCGGTTCATCGAGAGGCTATCCAGAAACAGATCCAGCAAGACTGGGCTAATCGAGAGTACATCGAAGTCATCACCGGAAGCATCAAGAAAATAACAGACTTCCTCAACTCCTTCGGTGAGTGTTTACCCCACCTCTCCTGGAATTCCTGGAATATTCCATTGCCTTCCTCTGAATGGAGCAATTGCATTCGTTCAATTTTAACTATTCGATTTTTTGTGGTTCGATAAATAATTTGAGGCTTGAGAGTCTTCATATAATTTTTTTAACTGAAGTATATTAATCTTTCAACTCGGAATTTAATATTTCTTGAGGCAGGACGGTGCATTTTCGGTTAGGAAATTGGTAAATCTTCTTGTTTATGTATTCATGTATTGTAGATATGTCCTGCAGATCTCGATTGGCTGTTTTGAACGAGAAATTGACGACTTTGGAACGGAGAATTGAGTACCTGGAGGCTTGTGTGAGTTTATGAAAATATTTTCGTCTGTTTGCAATTTTTTTGTGGGGCCGGACGGATGGAGATAGTCTTTTGTTATAAATTGTAATTATAGTTGAGGAATAATTTAATCTTTTCGAGATATTCATTGGGATTTGTTGATTTCAGGTGACGAAGGGTGAAACTCTAACTTAATTTGAGAAGAATTTATGTTCAATATAATTGACTCTCATTGAACTTCCGTTTGATACTACTTCCTATCCTAAGCCCAGAATTTTATAATGATTTTAAGACACGGATTATTGTGAATCCTTGAATAAAACCAAATAACAATGACCAATTTTTTATTATGTAATCTACATTTTTATTTATTTTATCGAGGGAAATTTTACAGATGGGATTTGGGAAGTGGCACTTGAGTTTTTTAATGTTTATAAATCAAACATGGAGCGATAATAATAAACAAAATAAAGGACTTTATAAAATATTTCATTTTATGAACGAGAAGATTTTTCCAAAAAGTTATTTTGTTGAAGGATAACCCCAAAAATCGAAAATAATAATTCTATGGCAGCAAAAATGACAGAAAAGTGGATGAATCAATTTAAATTAAGAGAGACGGTGAGAACAATTTTTAGTAATTATCTAATTTATTCATAGTATTGAATGAGATTTAAACATTTGGTAAAAAGTCTCAAGTGTCTGCCCCATGGGAGAATTCTAATCGATCTCGACAGAAGAATCGAAAACGCTCATTAATACGGTCTTCTCGGCCACTCTGTGATAGTTCCCACGAGTGAATAATCGTAGAAATTACCCAGCTCTGGGTTCGGGTTGTTGAAAAGGTTCCATTCGTTCTGCTTAGAGTCCTTCTTGAGGAGTGCAGCAATCATGAGGAAAATTGTCGCAGGAATTGTGAAGCTCTGCTTTTTTTTGAATGCATGGAGAACGGGTATACAAGCCGCCACTGAAACAGAGAAAAATCTCTATTCCCAAAAAACATCTGCCGAAGAATTAACTATTATCAATTCTCTCACTATTGATTCCAATATTAATACATTAATATTAATAATATTATTAATATTAATGGTTCATACGTAACCGAGGAGGAATGTTAACAGAAAATACTCTCTGAAGGGGTGAGGGAATAAAATATCATAAAGATCAAATAATTTACCCCCAATCGCGTAATTCAGCTTGTCATCCTTGCCCCTGACATTCGTGGCGATATAAGTAACGGATGCAAATGTAGTTGCTACACCTACAGAAGGCAGTAGGTAGAAGCTTAGAACATTCATCGTCTCAATTAAATTTTTTGTCTGCGAAATAAACAGGGCATCTCCAATAGTCGCGAATGCTGAACTCAAAATGCAATATTTGTTTATTCCCCACAGTTTCTCCCAGGGATTTTTTCCCTCCGGTGCATCATAATAATTTGGTCCTCTCAGGATCAATAACTGCGAGTTAAGTGGTGTGTATTTTTCTCCTGTTAACATTTTTAATCAACAATTAGAAATTAACGCCTATTATAAAACATAGTCATCCCATCGACTGGTTTTTATTAGTTAATTAGTGCTGTTGTCAATGTAAATAACAAATATGAAATCTCTTTTTTAATCATTATTATTACTGAAGAGTAACAAGTTGATTGTTTTTTAGTGAAGCTTTTGAAAAAAATTGGTGGATGAGTTGGAGAAGATTTAGAGGTTAGAGTACAGTAAAAAACATTAACTATTTGATAAAAATCCAATCAACAATTTTCAGTCTTCTACGTGAATTGGAAATTAGAGATAAATTGTCGAGATTTAATTATTCTCAGAGAACTTTTCTGAAAATTTCAAAAGTTGGAGCAAGTGTTATCATTGAGAGATGACAGAATTTTTTCCAGGAATTTTGACTGATTAAATAATCGGACGACTTACCGTAGGGCATCGGCATGATGACAGCCCTCGGTTAATTCCCAGCCCTCGATAAACAATAAGATAATAACAAATTAGGAATATTATGGAAAGGCAGTGGAGGATTACGACTGTCAGCTGGTGAGGGGGTGCGCAAGCGTAAAAAATTACGTAATGAAAAACTGCATTTCGTTCCGTCGACATTTTTATTCGCACTTTTCCCACAAATATCGGTAAAAAACTTTATCAAAAGCATTGTTAGCGCATTATTAATTATAATTTAAGTGTTATTATTTCTTTTATTAACAGAAAAAAAGAGAACGAACGCTAAAGCGCATCCATTGAACCTCTCGACGTTTGAACTGGCCGCTATTTGGACCGCGCATTCGTCCGCGCAGATTCAGAAATGGCGGTCGAATTCCGCGTCCTCGGTGGAGCGTTCCATTTGTGTTACGAATTTTGGCGGGTAGTGACGATAAATAGTTGGTGTTATCGTGATTAGTGGAATAATTAAGTGTCAGTGTCATACAGGAATAATCATACGAAGGAATTAGTGATTATTCTGGTGATTAACAACGGCTGGAATGCATAAAACCGGATTTTCAGGTCAGTGAGGCTTTTCTAAATTTTCTACTTCAATAATTAAGATTTATTCTTCCATATACATATTTTTCACAGGTCATAAACAATAATTATTATTATTTACAATGTGGTTTAACAGTGTTGATCTTTTTATGCTTCCAAATCTGAGTTTTTCGCGTGTTGTTTCGAATCTTCGAACGAACGATCTCCTTCAATTGTTTTCTGAGATTTTTGAACGATTGGTTCGAAGGTGCGGGGGTTTTGAAAAATTCCTCGGCCTCTGAAAAGTCATGATTGATGATTACTTTCTAATTCAGACAAATTCAAATTCTAGTCTGATTTCTATTTGTGTCTGAAGTCCGTCTCTTGCTACAATGAAGGGAATGAGCGGGTTTTCACCTTTAAATATTGCAGGGTTTAAGAAAAATGTGTCTTCAACAACTCGTGACACTTTTTCAGTACTTCTTTTTGCATTTTCCGTGTTCTGCCCTGAAGTTTCGTCCTCGTCCTCAGAGGAATCATACCTAAATGGATTTTTAGCGTCGAAATTATCTCCAAACTTTGATTTCCTCTCTGTTGCCAGTTTTTCTTCATTCGCCAATTCACGACTTTTCTCTGAGAAATCCAGAATTAAAATCAACATTTCATGAAACAAAGTATCATTTAGATAATTCCATACATAAACTCGGTAATTTTCAGATATTGAGGAATGCGGTATAATTTTTTTTTCGTGTCGAACAAAAAATGTTATGAGGATTTTTATTACCTTCAGGGGCTGTACCGAATCGTTGGAGCAAACTGAACTCCTCTGGGGCTTTCAGGGTCTCCGTCAGATTTTCTGACACCGAGTAGAAAATTTCACTCGACACAGGAATAGGTTTTTCCTCCTCCACTAGGACCTCTTTAGCTTTTCTTTTTTTCTTCTTCGAGGATTGAGGCTCTTCTTTTTGCAGTTCGTGTTTCTGGTGGTCGTCCTGCGTCGGATCGTACCGAATCATTTGATTTTTCCTGAGAAAATCACAGATTTCGATTTATTTTAGAAAATCTTGGGTTTATTATGTTTCTTTTACCTTTTCTTCTCTGAGTCATTCTTCTTGGGTAAAGGCTTACCCAGAACACTCTGGAGAATTTCCAACTGTTTGTTTTTCTCACTTGTCAGTTCATCCTCGTCCTGTTCGTTATTTAATTCCTCCGGTTCTTTTTCTTCGTCTTCTAAAAATCTTTCGTCCATCGCGAAACGAGGATCGTTTCCAAGATTCACCACCTTCGACTTTTTATTTGCACTAAAATCGTACTCCTCCTCTTTCGAATCTGCCACCCCATCTCCCTCCTCATCCTCATCATCGAATAATGTTCGTTTTCTAGATCGATTGACTATTTTCTCTTCGTTATCATTTTCCTGGTCACATATACTGTCATCGAAGACAATTTTCTTGTTTGGAACTCCATCCTTAAATAATTTTAATACAAAATCAGTCCTGGAGAAATAAACAGTTGAGATTTGTTTAAACATTGAGATCTTTCCAATTAATTTAGGTGTGAAACCTAGAATGAAAGGAATCGAATTGGGGGATGAAATGTTAAATAAATATTTTGTGAAGGAAAAGGGGAAGGGGAAGTTGCAGGCATTTTTTTATGATTTTCTGAAAATCCAGGGATTTCTCAGATTTTGAGATTTCGGGATTATTATTCCTGAATTGAGGACATACCACTGAGTTCAGAGCATTTCTTATCAACAATTCCTTTTCTCGGAATGCCTCCTTCTGTTTTTTCAAGGACGCACGTCTGATAGCGTCTGAGTCTCTCCCAATCATAATTGAAGATTGTCTTAATTTTTTTCAATTATCCACAAAATAATTCACCAATTATTAAAAAAAAATTCCACGTGTGGTCTTTAGCCTCCAACCAAAACAAATTGACATTTTCAATTGTTAGGTTAGAATCAAATTATGTGCGCAGACACTTTGCGCCTGAGGCGGGAAAAATTGAATAGCGAATTGAATGAAATATGAAACATTACTCTTAATTATCGATTTATCCCAGAAATTATCGACTTGAGGTGAAAATGCTATAGAACTTTCTTGTAGTTAATTAAATTTCTCACAAAAAAGGTCCTATAATATTTCCTCCCAAAATCAATAGGCGTTGAGATTAATCGATATTTAACAAAGTTGCATTCTAATTTTCAATAAATCATACTATAGATATACCAGAATCATTTCTTCAACCGCCATTTTGTTCTCTATCATTCATTTTTAAACAATCATTAATCCAAATCGTCAAATACATTTGAATAATTTTCCATAAAAAAATAATTATCAGTAATTAATAGATCAATATTTTTCATTTAGTTAATACAAATCCCTCAATGAATATTCATTCGTACGGAAGAATTTTCATTGAAAAATATATTTATAAAGATATTATATATTTATTTAGGATGAAGGGAATATTCTTCTCCCCCGTATTTACCAAAATATTACAAAAGTCATTACTAATGCCGATTTCTGTGAATTGCGAGGGGACGAACGGGAGATATGAAATGAGAAAAAGATATTGATAACGATAAAAATAAATTTTTTGTGAAAAACCAGAGGTTTCAGCTGAATAACACGAGCCTCTATGCAGACGTTCTGTTTCTGACGTCAATGTATCGATCTCGTTATTAGGGTATGTATCACTTGAGAATACAGATAGGTACATACCTTATGTATGATTATTGCATCCAAAAATAGCCACTCACTGTATTATTTGTCCGTGCAAATTAAAGTTTATACGCTGTGTTTGTACATTGTTATTACCAAGTATTCCAATTTATGGGATTACAGCGAAGAGAATGACACGTATTTTCAATTAAAAATAGAAATTTAATCGATGACGGTAATGAAATGTTTATTAACTGGATCGAGCATGCGATTTTGAGTGACGTATAGGTCTCGGAAGAAATCGATTCGCTAAGCGGTTTTCAGGATTTTCGCGATCTCGAATTTCTCGGACTTCCGGCGTTTTTATTCTCATCATTCTAAGGAAGATACCGAAATTTTTGTATGGACCTTTTTTGTGCACCTCAATTCGCTGTAAATAAAAGGTCTTAATGAAAATTCCGTTATCTCTTACAGATTCTCAGATATTCTCCGAATTCTCATCTTTGATGGCAAACAGAAAAATCGGCGAAAAGCATTTCCCCGTCATTTTCATGAAATTTTCATGAAAGAATGACTTTCCCAATTATCTATCTATATTAATTCAAGATTATATCATTATCTACTGAAAACAAATTCCTAACAGATTTCGTTTCATGACTTTTTTCCTAAAGGGAAAATGTCACCCTGAATTTTCCGAAAAAATGAAAGTACATACCCGATACATTAATTTCCCTTAACAACACGTAACACGTAATTCTAAAAAAATGAATTGAACACTTGAAAACTTTATTTATACACATATAATAAATTCTAAAAAAAAACAATAATTTTTGAGTTGAACTGCGAGACTATGGGTAACACTTGGATTTGAATAAAAAAATAAAATGGGGACAGTTATCGGTGATATTTTTTTGGATACGTGTACCCCATTGAATGAACTCTGATACGTAAACGTAACTGTTATGCACTCGTTGGTTAATGACGTGAGAGGTATAATACGAGTCGAAAGAGGTCTCAGAATCATACGTCAATTTCGATCGGACTAGAATGTCCATTACGTTTCAACTCGTCAGCAGTAGAATAGTTTTTAAAGTCGTATGACGTAATAAACCCCGGTGACAGCTGGTTTGTATGAGCCAGAAAGAGGTATAAGAGGGCAACTTGGTCGGCTCGTAACCTTTAATGGTCGGTCGATGCCCGTGTGCACTCGTAATATACCACCAGTGGATTTTACTTTTGCATATGAGAATGCCAACTACTCGTCACTCTCAGTACTCACTCGTAATTCTCATCCCCCTCGTCATTGAATTATTACGCGAGATAATCACCCTCATGCTACATCATCAAATCTCTACAACTTCTATCATACACGGAAAACAATAAATAATAAAGGACTTGTTATACGTGCATTAGGTGTCATAATATACAGTTCTTTTGAATATAATAATGTAATTATTTTATTTTTCTTTGGTGTTACAGTACTTATGTTTTACACCCTCTCCGCTTGCTTCGTTCTTAATTTATGTTTTGATAAATCTTTTTACTTATTGATTAGACTAAAACATAGTGTTTTGAATATGTTTTATACTTGAGTCTAGTGGATTTATAATTGGTGTTAGAATCGTGGGAAAATTATTTTTTATCGATATTTATTGAGGATCGGATGCAGGAGGATCGAGTTGTTACCGGTGACGATCTTCGACTTTCGATATCTCGATAGAAAAATTGTATAAAAAAAATGGTGTTGCATTCATTTTAAAATTCGACAATTCAATGGCTCTCGAGCGAGAAATTTTGTAAAATTCTGAAATATAGTTCTCGTTGTTTGACTCCATGAAATCGAAATGTCAAGGATTGAGTGCGTTCTCTGAAAATTCATGTCGATTGTCTTTTCCAAGTGCACTCACAATCGCGGGGGTGATACGAAGAGATGAAAGCCCCGGGCCCTCCCCTAAGTCAATAAATTACAGTTTCTGTAAAAGAAAATGAAGTTTTCCTGAAGAAGTGGTTGCGTGGGTGAACGTCTGAACGTCACCCATTGAATTTCGTACCTTCCCACAGGAGAAAAATGAAAAATTCAATAGCAGAAGTGAACAAACAATTGATTAAAATAAAAATCAACAATCCTGATAAGAGATAATTTTCTCCTATGGTCCATCATATTTATTTTCAACTTCTGTCACTCCCACGGCTGTTAAATCAAGTACAAATACCCTACAATTATTTATTATTCCACATACCATATTAAAAAAATAATTAACTAAATTTCCAATTTTAAAGAGTGACAGCTACCAATACCAGACACCCATTTGACTCTCACACCACCCTAAAATTACTGCCATCCCCGAAACAGTGGTTTACCCCGATGAATGTAACCCCCCAGGTGTCTGTCCAAGGCTTCCACCCCCCAAGTATAAATCGATTCTACCCCACCAGTCATACGCACACCCTGTTGCGTCTCCCGATGACTGGGGGTTGTTCGGACAAACCGAGCGTCTGACCATTCTCTGGTCTGCTCTACGCATACTCAACAGCTATCAGTCCGTTATCACACAATATCACCCCTTATCGCCCTTTGGAAATGCGTGCGTACCCTATAAAAAAAAAAAATAAAAAATAATAAAATTACATGCGATGTTCGGATAAAAACTCATTAGCTTGTTATTGCCATTAATTTATTGATAGTCGTAGATTATTTTTGTCTTTTTCTTTCTTCGCTGTGTGACGTCACGATCCTGAGGGGCGCGGTCGGCCATATTGATTCTGCCCCCCACCATCTGGACAAAGACGTTCATTCCATTCACAAATATCCTCCACCAATCCACGTTGACATCACCCCCATCTCACCCTCTCAACCCCCTTCCCTCCCCCCGCGACCTGTCGTTCATCTACTGCTTGTAAAACGTTTACTCTCTCTTGTTCAAGTTATCATCTTTGTTTTTGTATTATCTGCGACTTATTTGTCGGTTACTTGCGTCGTGTCCATTGAATTTGTTATCGTGTACCTTTGGGATTCATTTGTCTTGGGGAATTGAATTGTATGGCTTTCAGTTGAGTTTATACTTTTGTCTCGTGTTTCGATTCAAGGGTAAACAATGACTCGGTTTTGTTTGGGGATGGAGTTTACTGGGGATGAATTATTTATGGATTTATTTTTGGTTAGGGTGACATTTTGGTTGGGGTAATTCTATGGCGGCGATTTTATTTTGAGATCTATTTTTTTTTGCCCAGTTGATCCCTTTTTATGGGGTCTTTTTTATTTGTTTTTTTGGATTTTATTATTTTGAGTCGCGGCTTTGGGGAGAAGTATATACTGGATATGTATTTGTTTATTTATATGAGTTGACACCTGCGGATTTTAGGAAAATGTTCTTTAAAAAAACATTTTTAACTTTAAATTATTCAGTCAGAACACATTATTAACGACGAATTTTTTTTAAGGGGGGAGGAAATTTATTTATTACTTTTTTAATTGAAATTCAATTTTGATTTCATTTCTCTGGCTGTCATGTTTCGGTGAATTGTCGCGTTTTTGTGGTTCGGCGTGACCTTGAGGTGGGGGCAATGGCGGGTGTCATCAGTTATTGAAGATGTGGATTGATGGAGATGGCGGTGTTTGTTGTTACGTCTGAATAATCGATAGAATTAATGGATGATTGATGAAGCTTCAGATCACTTTTTTCAGTTGGGGGTAATTGATGACGAGTCAAAATGATCTGCTTCTTTTTCCCTCTCTTTTGGCTCAAGTCATTGTATAAAATAATCGACCAATCAATTTACATTCTACATAAGATCGAGTCATTGTAAATAAAATTCCCACGCAAAACTTGAATTGAAAAAAATACCCCTAAAACAAAATTTTTAATAAAAAAAAAAGTAAAAATGTGAAAATTTTGATAATTTTCACAACAAAAAAAGTCAAAATGTGAAAAATTTGATAATTTTTACAACAAAAAATAAAATATTGAAAGTTTAATATTTCCAAAATCCATAAAAAATAGGAATTACTCGGGGAATTCACTGTTTTAATTATTATCATTTGACAATCATTCAAAATTAAAAAAAATTTATGGCTGAACCTTGAGAAATGCTATCTCGAGGAGGAGTTGATGACCTCTGAAATAGTCATGACTTCAGATAAGAGTCTCGCACGGGGACAAAATCGTGGAATGGGCATATGTGGGTGGTTGAGGGGGCGGAAGGATGAGGGTGAATATGAGGTACATAAAGTGTACTCACGAGTGCATTTAAACGGGAGGAGGCAAAAACCATGGGGGTGGGTAACAGACGAGGG